GAGATACCGCCACTGTACCTTAAGATAAAAAGAGAACAGGAGTTCCAGTGACAGGGATGTTGGATGAATTGCCATATTCAAGGTGCCAAAGAGATCAGAATGGACAGTCTTTCAGTGCTACCTTCTCCCTAGATGATGTAACTACAAAATAAATGGGAAGGAAGCAGCTGAGTAATCCAGCTATCAGCCTATGGGATGGGTTAGATTTCATATAATTATTTTGTAAAGGTATCTGTACGATAGCACCAGAATTAATGTTAATCAGAGATGATGAAACTTGATCTACTTTGTATTCTAGAGAAACAACACACTAAGTCAGAAAAATAAATTGCTTCACAGACAAGAGATGGGAGGATCATATTTTAAAATGATTTAAGCACTGTCTGAAAATAGAAAAATAACACAGAATGCAAAATATTGGCAAGGACCTTTCTTCTTTAGTGTACTTTCTCCCCCTTTTAAGGTTACATGGAAGAGACTACTCTGCCAGCAATTAATTGTATTCAGGTTTAAAAGTGAATTGCATTCACTTTTAATTCTGTATCTCTTTTCTTTTCTTTTAATAAGGTTAAGAACCGAGGTGGCGCAGTGGTTAAATGCAGCACTGCAGGCTACTTCAGCTGACTTCAGTTCTGCAGTTTGGCTGTTCAAATCTCACCGGCTCAGGGTTGACTCAGCCTTCCATCCTTCCGAGGTGGGTAAAGTGAGGACCCGGATTGTTGGGGGCAATATGTGAACCGCTTAGAGAGGGCTGAAAGCCCTATGAAGCGGTATATAAGTCTAACTGCTATTGCTAATATTCTCGACATTAGTGTTATTGGTTGAATGGCAGAAACAGTAATATCAAACATGAGAAGGAAGTATTCGCAAATTTGGGAAAAGATGCAGGAGTACATAATATATTAGATCAGCATATTTTTAGAAAATATGAAATACCTGCTGTATTATTAGCTGACTAAATGTTGTGAAAGACGGTAAGAAAATATGAGAAGGCTAGAATTCTGAACAGAAAATGAACTGCAATCCAATTATTATACTTGCTTAACATATTATTATTACTGTTGATTTTTGTATGTGGCTTTAGAAGAACTGACAGTCATGTTTTTAAATGTAAATTACAGTTTATTTTTATATCTGAAGAAGACCAATGTATGCTGAAATTATCCTTTGCTTCGAGATGTATAAACAACACAAGGTAATTACAATAATTTGCTTCTCATTATCCAATGTCTTTCTAAGGTAAATACACATAAATATTAAAACAAGACAGAGGTCATATGGTAACCCTATTCTGTTTTTGTGAAACACACTGTACAAATTGCACCGAAAGCTAGCAGCAATTTGTAAAATTGGTACAATTTATATGTGAAAGAATTCCAATTATAGGAGCAAGAAAACACTCCTTTAGAAAATGTAGAGTTTTTAGAATGTGCTTTCCTAGAAAATGTCTGCTGCTTTAGGGGGTATATTGCACTGCTTTTCTTTACAAAAAATATACAGTACTGAAATATTTAGTACTGAAATCAAGTAGCTTTGCTGATGCATTAGTTGAGAAAAAAACTGCTTTCCAATTGTAAGGTGATAAAAGAAAAGTAGTAGCTATATTAAAATAACAAAAATACTAAAAAGAAGTTTCCATTCAGTTTAAATCTTTTTTTTTTCTTTCAGATTAGAAGAAAGGCTGTTATGATGCTGAAGCCCCAATGTATATAGTTCACAACAGTTAAAAATGGAGTATGGTAGATATCCAGAAGATAAGTTATGCATATTTTCTCAGACATTCAATTGGGTTTTTATTTTTATAAGTGATCCTAAGATTACAGTCTTTACTGAGAATCATTCTTATTGATCTTAGAGGAATTTATTTTGGAATTGATATGGATGTTGAGGCACTGTTAATTAGATTAGCTTTTGTTAATTTTAATAACTTTGTGCAATCAAAGTTCAGGTTTCTTGTGCAGCAAGACATTTTTTGAGACAATAAAACTAGAAATTCTTGTTTAACAAAGTCAAAACAAAGTTAAGTTTGATATAGAGAGTGTCACATTTTGGAAAATGTTGCAGATCAAATTGAGCCTCTTTCATAGGTGTTTAGGTATTAAGAAGAGCAAAAGTGTTTAAATAATAAATTAAATAATAATATATAAAAAACAAAGGCTAGAAAAAAATTATCTGCTGTAGTAGTGCCAGGAATTAGCACCAATGCTGAACAATCTTGGATTGGATTGGATTTATTCAGTTTGTATGCCGCCCTATTCCGGAGAGACTCAGGGCGGCTAACAATCGAAGAGGGGAGGGGGTACAAAATAAAGATAAAAGGACAAACACATCTTAAAAAACAACAACAGTCATACCCTCGACTGGGGCTGAGAGATTCAGCACCCCAGGCCTGCTGGAACAGCCAGGTCTTAATGGCTTTGCGGAAAGCCGGAAGGGTGGTGAGGGTCCGGATCTCAACGGGGAGATCGTTCCAGAGGGCCGGAGCAGCCACAGAGAAGGCCCTCCGCTGGGGAGTTGCCAGCCGACACTGGCCGACAGATGGAATTCGGAGGAGAACTAGTCTGTGGGATCTAATTGGTCTGTGGGAGGTAATTGGCAGGAGGCAGTCTCTCAAGT